TCATACACAGCAGAACACCTTGGGCAAATCAAGCACTTGGTTGCCCCTTTGTAGCAGCGAAACACAAACTCCAGCAAACTTTCCCCAGCCTTGGGATAACACCTAAAAAGCTGGTTATCCTGGCGCCAATTGTTGCCAGTTCGAGCCCTCTGTACCCTTTCGAAATTCGCAGCAATTCTTTGATTGCAGAGGATGCTGCACCTGGGGCACAATATCATGCCCGAATCTCCTTTGTGGCATGTCATGAGATAATCTTTGAGACTAGCATCTCCAGTGTGATTATCCCCCATTCTGTACTTTTCTTTTTCTAAGTATTTTTCCACTTCCTCCATCTCAGAGCGAGGTCTTTCCATATCCACCATATTTATTTCCACATCCCTCTCTTTAGCTTCATCATCACCCAATCATGTGGGCTTTATATCCTCAATCTGAACCTTCGAACTCTCTGGGGCAGAATATTTGACCAAATAGTCAAATTTTCCACTGGGTTCCCCTAGAGTGTCCCATATTTCCTTCTGAGGGGAAATTGGCTGCGTGATTTGGACTTTCTCCAATTCCAGCCTCAAGCTTTCAGTGCCTTGTGTTAATCCTTCGTTTTGATTCCCCTGGCCTTCAGTAGCCTGGGTTTCTCCTGCAACAGCTATAGGTGCAGCAATCGAAGTCTCTGGCGTATTCTGGATATCTTCAGTGACCTCCTCGCTGACTTCGACCATCACCCAGTTTTCAACTCCAGTACCCTTCTCTTCTGTTAGGGCGTCGCTTCGATCAGTTTCCACCATGTTGACCTCTCCAATGCATGCAGGCTCGGAGTAGTTGGTGTCTGCGACGTCCAAGGGATCTTCGTCCACTTTCATCTTCACCTTATCAGCAAACTTTAGTCTGCCATCTTTGATCGCGTTTTGAATCAAGTCCCTGAAAAGAAAACATTGTGAGGTCTTGTGGCCTAGGAAACTATGATATTTGCAAAATCCCCTCTTCTTTCTCTAATCCAAAGGAGGTATTTTGACATTTGATGGCACGATTAGTTGGCCATCCTTGACAAGTAAGTCAAAAATTTCGTCACATTTAGTGACGTCGAAGGTATAAACCTTCTTTGGAAATTTGTCACTTTTCTCATTTTCAACAATATCTTTCCCTTTTGTGGGAACTAACATTTTGCAGGAGTAAGGCGGGGCCTGTTTTAATTCAGCGAGGTCGATTTCGACCTCTTCGAATTCGAATTCAGGGTATTCTTCTGCTTCCTCAGTCCCAACGTAGGAAATCCTTTCTTTCTTGCTATTCTTAAAGACTCTGGCTTTTTCGGCCTTTAGTCTTTCGACCTGTCGAACCCTATCGGCTAACTGAGCCATATCCCTCAAATACTGAGTGTCTAGTTTCTTTCGAATAGAATAATCCAAGCCACCGGCGGCCATTTCGACTAACTCATGTTCAGGCACTACTGTGTAACATCTGGATTTCAAAAGCCTAAATCTATTCAAATAATCATCTATGGGTTCGGTGAACTTTCTCTTAACACTGGCCAGTTCCTTCAAACTTATTTTCGATTGTCCCATGTAAAATTGTTCATGGAATAATCTCTCTAAGAGAGTCCAAGTGTCGATGGACCCAGGGGGCAAAGTGGTAAACCATGTGAAGGCGTTTTTTTGTCAAGGAACTTGAGAAGTATTTGATCCTGAGATCTTCATTATTGGCTATATCTCCCGCTTCGGTCAGATACCTCGCTATGTGTTCGACTGTTGACTCATTGGTATCCCCAGCGAACTTTGTAAATTTAGGGACTTTATATCCCCTTGGTAAATCAGTATGCATTATGCAATCCAATATAGGAGAAGCGTAATTTGGCCTCCTCATTCTTGTGTTGAGGCCATTCTGGGCCATGACCCTCTCTATCATGGTGGTTAGGTTGTTTTCTGCCAAGATGTTATCGTTTCGAATCCTATGAACGACGGCATCGGCATCTTGATTTCGACCAACCAAAACAACTCCCCTAGGTTGTTCTTCTCGAAATTTTGGGGCTTCTGGCCTTTCGACCCTTGCCCCTGGTTCCACAACTTCCCTTTGTGAACCCGGGATTATTGGGGCTTCTAACCTTGGTGCCCTGGCCCCTAAGTTAACTTCTTCTCTGGGTGGTCTATAAATTGGGTCGTTAGCAATTTGTTCTATAACAGGCATGTTTGTTCGAAATCCCGCCTGGTTCTGCCTACGCCTTTCTGGAGGAGCAAAGAAATCTGCTATTCGACTCATATTGTCAGCGTTTTCCCTGTTCGTCACAGTCACATTCTGCACTATTGGGGCAAATATCTCCTGCATGGTTTGCGCTAACACCCCTATCATATTATGGTTACTGTCATCCATCAATTGCCTAAAAGCCAACTGGTTATCTGTGGTTAGGATAGGCAATGTGCTATAACCCACCGACCCTTGGTTATTTGTCATAAACTGATTCGCCCCAGACCCAGACCCTAGTTGTGGAGATGAGTTCGATTTGGAATTGTGTAAACCTGCCATAAAAGATGTTGGCATTCCATAAGAGGAATTTCTGACTCTATTCCCATCGAAACCGGGTGGTCTAGTTAATGGGGTGGCGAAATGGGATTGTGTCCCTGATGGTGGAACGAATCCCCCAGGGTAGCCCATAGTTCCAGTATTTCCTAAGATCGAACTATTAGTTGATATGCCACTTACTCCATTGGTGGCTATGTTACTGGTCGAAGATGCAACAGACTGTGCATTCGAAGGGATTACATTAGATGTTCCGCTCGAAGTGGACGTGTTAGTGCCTGTTGCCTGTGGGCCACTTTGGTCCCCTTGTTGATTGTCTGAATTAGACATTTTGTCCAAACGTTTTCTTCTGGATAAAGGTTGGTTGCTGTTGGTTATCTTACCACTTCTCAGGTTCATAAAACATCAAATTTCTCAAGTTCCAACGTTTTTGTAATGGTTACGTCTCAACAATCCTTAATTCTGATATCCAATTATTGGTCCCACCAGGTGTGCCAATTTGTTTCCAGTGATTTCTGGTAAACAACCGCTAGTCTTCCAAACTATCGAATAATCTTTCTTACTGTTATTCAATCCCTCTGGTAACTCACAGGATCGACTAGATTGATCCTAAGACTCCTTGGATATTAAGGTTACTCTCACAATCGAACAGATATTCATGGTTGATATTGTATAAGTGTTTGGCTTGTTTCGATCTCTCTCTCTAAGAGTCTAAAGATGTAATCAAAATGTGTATGAAAACTAAGTTATACGAATAAATGCTAATTGTAATGCTAATTGTAAAGACATATAAAACTGCATGAAAATGAAGTAAATGGTTTCGACTTACAAAACGGTTAACATAAAGGGTTTCTGGAACGTAAAAGTTTGAAATGTGAAGAAAGCGTTTAATGCAAGAAATCTGTAAATGATTTTAAGTAAAAGTATGCGTTCGAAAGACAAGACTTGAAGGTAAAGGTATGGAAAATGTGACAGTTTCCTGAAATATAAAGTGCTCGAAATATAAAGAAAACAATAAAACGTAAAACTTTGAGGAAGAGACTTCGAAGTGAAAAGACTGTAAATAAGAAAACTTGTAAATGTTGTTTGACAAAAAGAATAAAGGAAAGTACTGGAAATGGTAAAAGGTTTTCATTAAATCAGAAATACATGGTGCTATCATACATACATTTCTCTTGCATTCGTTTCCCTTGCCATGTGGTAGTTTGAATGTTATTGAGTATTTTGTATAATAGATATGACACACCGAAATCCTAATACTAAGACTTCTATTTATACTAATTCGACCCTAACGGTCTCGCTATAGGATTATGCCACGTTTCGAACATGCAGGACACTGCTTCTTTCATCTTTCCACGTGTCCCCAAATGCTCCAACACATAACTTTCAAACTTTGAAAGTCCCGCTTCCATTTGAATTTTAAATGCTTTGGTGTTTCTCCGTTTCGAACGCTCTTCCCAAACACAGCCTCGCTGTTGTTTCGAGACAACTTTAGATATGTTCCCATAATTGCCGCTCGAAGCTCCAAGCTTTGACACACTTATTCGAAACACTGCTTCTGCTAATTCGAAATATGACGTTTAATTCCATTCCGATCAAAAAACATTTAACTTTACTTGGCTTTTAAATAACATTATCAAAATCTTCAGCCAACACCTATATAAAGGGTCATTACTTTGTAATCCACATATACTGCAACATCAAATTAACAGTTTCAGTTTTAAAGGGTTAGTTACACTAACTAACTCAACAATCTCTCTCTTCTTCTTCTTCTTCTTCTTCTTCTTCTTCTTCTTGTTTTTACTATATCCATCTTTCTTGAATTCTTTGTTCCAACAGTGTCATCCATTTGTTGTCTTCTTCGATGCAATCCATTGTTAAAGATGAGAATCAAGACGATCTCTTGTATGATCGTTTTGTTGTTGCCCTCTTTCTTTGTGCTTGCCAGGTTATATAGGAAATCTGTTCTAAAATTTTGGTCTTTTGAGACATAAGTGAGTTCAAAAAAACAAAAAAAAATTTAAGCAAGTAATCTTACCTTGTGCAATTATTTCGTCAGTTGGTAGCAATGTTGATTTGGACAAAGTCTCAACTCACTTGAGATATTAATGTTATTTAATTAGAGTCATCGACTTAATTGAGATTAACGGTTGAGAATGAGTGATATGCATTTTTTTGTCATTGTATTTAAAACAGCTAATTTTATCAAGCAATTTAAAATAGAAGGCAAGAGTGAAAGACATATTTAACACTTTGTAAGGTATACTTAGTATTTACACATTTGTATGATTACACTGCAACAGATAACAATGGCATAAGTGAGTCATAGACTCATAATGTATCATCCATTCAAATGCTTCTTATTAAAACTTTGCTAAATCTGAAGTCATGACTAAAGAATATCTAACTTATAAGCATTATTGTTAATATATAGGTCAAGCAAGGAATACTTGTATAACCCAGAGCATCGCGCACTTTACAGCCATATCAGAATAATATTACAAAACATCTGAATCACCTGACTCGCTATCGGTGTTTCCTTGCCTTCCTAACCCCATCCTAAATTTGCACACAGGACATGTTCCTTGTTGCCGAAGCCATGGATCGATGCAGTTGGCATGAAACTGGATGGAAAACAAGTAAATAATTTGTTTATAACAACAACAACAACAAAAATTCATGAAAGCAAGAGATAGGCAGCAGCATTAAACCTGATGCTAGCACGGCAAGCTACGCACAAGTTCCCCCCTCTTAACTTGATCCAAACATACAGTACATATCAGCTCATCTTCTGAACCTTTGGCACTTCTCTCGGCTCCTTTGGAGTCTTGTTTAATCTGATTAAAAACATTTGAAAAAAATTTAAAAACATCTCCTATTCCAGAAACAAAAAAGTAGGAAAACACCACATGCATAAAGCTATCTACTGAAACAAAAAACGAGAGATGCATTGACACTATTGCATTGACAGTCTAGTGAAAGCACATAAACCTAAAGCGAAGATTGAGCTAATAGAGATATTTACCTCAGCTGCCTCTGAAGAGGATGTTAAACCGGTGGAGCCATCTCTGTTAATATAAACAAATCATGTCAATTTATTTATTGTCGCATAGACTTCTTTACAAAATACGCACAAAAGGAGAAAACAAATCCTGTGGACCCTTTAACCTTCTATAAGACACATACCACTGGGAACATTTTTCTCAAGAGCTATTAAATACTGCTTCTATTCAATGTTCATATTCAATGCCATAAAGGAAAATTCTCAATCCACCCTATTCATTTCTCAGGGACCTCCCAAATTGTTCATTTTGACCCTGTCCGAAAGGATCGTTCCGGACACCTTTGGACGGAAGCATCCTTCTAGAGTGTATCGATATACCAACGTGCACCCTCTATGATGCACGCACTTGGACACGGACACTGGGACATGACGCAAACACTCTGACACCGATAACGTCAAAAACATAGGACGCCGACTCCGCTACATATATGATAGTATTTGAGCTTCATTTATCCATCTATTACTAAGAGTTAAAAGTATTCTTATCATAATTAATATCTTTCTTTGAGCTTCATTTATCCATCTATTACTAAGAGTTAAAAGTATTTTTACCATAATTAATATCGTTATTTCGTCATTGATGACATTGTTTCAATACATATTTAACCATTTTAGATGTACCAGGTTTGTTCACAAAATGTATAAGGTGTGTTGAAGCCAAAAAAAAATTTATTTTTAAACACTTGTGTGAATTGTCCGTGTATGAGTGTCATACAGGTGTGGGACCTCAATTCGAAGTGTTGAAGCAAAGAAAAAACTATTTTTTTGGGGACACTTGTCTAACTTTTCCAACACATGTCATACGGGTGTCATAACAAGGGTCGGACACCGCGAAACATCTACTACAGAGGTGTCTGTGTTTCATAGTGCACTCTTCCCCTTCCTCCATTCTATCTATTTCAATTAAAAAAGCTTTAAAAACCCCAAAATTACCAATCTCTCATTTTTCATCTAAATAAGTATTAAGACCTACAACTTTCTCCTAATCATCAAAAAATTGACCAGGTATGTTTTGACTTGCAATGTTTTTGTAAGTTAAAACATAAGCAGTGCATACCAATTTGAATTTAAGATGGAAATCCGCACCAAATATTTAGTGATCTAATTTGAATCACAGTCGATGGTTTATGTACACGATATTTCATTAAGTTATAAAAATAAAAATAAAAATCGTAATAATTCTAAACCTCTGGTATAGCCAACCTCGGGATTTATATTTTATAAACTTGATTGTTTTCTAAAACAAAATCCGAGGACTTCAAATCGCCCAACAGTACCAATGATTCAGCAGTTGGTGCCAACTGAAGAGCTGCAAAAGAAAGGTGAACTGACCCACCAAATACTATCTTGCTTCTTGCAAGAAAAGAAAATAAAGAACAAAGATGCACAAAAATATAGCAAGCTTTTCCTCTGATTCATTAGCATTACTTTTTTTAAGAGACTTTCACAACTTACTTTGTTGAGCCTGGAATCTTATATTTGTGAACAGGCAAGGCACTTATCTCTTCCTCTGTCATTGAAGGAGTACTAGAAGCATTATCAGAGTCCAGTGCTCTCAAAGTATCATAATCTGTCACAAAATGAACAAAAAAGCAAATGAATTTGCATATTTGAACGAAAATGAAGCACGATAAGCTTTCATCGGTTTTGGCACCCATTTTAGGCATTGTCAACTTAAAAGAATATGCCAAAATACAGAAGCACAATACCTAGCTCGTCGAATTCTCGGTCAAGAAGTGCAAGCTGAAGTCTAAGTCCCTGCAATCTTCCTCTAGTTGCAATTGCAATAGATGGCGGCATTTGAAAATGTAATTCAGCATGGCCAAGCAACCCAGAGGCTGCTGCGGCATGAGCCCTGGCTTGCGCTTGAAGCTGTTGACATGTTGCATACATTCTCAGACTTGTAGCCATCACGAAGACAGCCAGTACTATCCAGAGCTGAAAAGGAAAAGGGCAATTGTTACTTTTGTAACTTCATGCAGAAGAGAGCTAGTATGAAAACTAGTAGTATATATACATTATATATTAAGTAATTACTTACTAGAAAATAATGCGACATCTGAGGGGAGCTTAATATCATGAATATCAAAATAACTGTCAAATAGGTATGAGCAAGTCAAATAGCGATTAACATTCTACACATATGAAGCAGAAAAGCATAGTATCTTGTTTGGATAAACAGCTAAATTAAGCGCATATAGCATAAGCACTTATCATATAAATTTTATGTTATGTATAAGCTACTTCTATGACTATAAATAAGATAAAGTCAAATTGCTTCTATACAAACTATAAGGTGTTTTCACAAGCTATTTGATGGAACCTCACAAAAATTAAGATAAACGCATAGAAAATCGATAAATGAGATATCGTTTATTGACAGCATTTGATGAAAAAGAGTAGTTGGAGTGAATAGGAAACCAGAGCCAGAATATTCATTCCCGGATAGCATAGGGGAGTGGCCAACCCCAAATGTGGGATAGCGGGATAGCGAATAGCGGGATTGCCGCTCCATTTGAACATTTTTAGGACAAATTACATATAGTTATAAACATATATTTTAATGTAAAGTTAAACAAATAACTCAACTCATAAAATGTTCATAAATCAAAGCACGTGTGACTTTTGTGTTGAAGTTGGTATTTGTGTTGTTGGTGTTTGTTTGAAGTCCCACATTTCTTAGGTTCTCGGGCTGTTGAAGGAAGGTTATGATTGAGTCTCACCTAAAATTTGATTGAAAAACCTAAAATTACCCTTAAAACGTTGTAAATTTAAGGGGTAATTTTGGTTTTTTAGAGGGGAAAACGAAAGCGGGTCAGAAACCGCTCTACACCGCTAACCCACTATTTACCCTATAGCGTCTGCTATAGTGTTCTGCAGCGCTAAGACTCTTCCCATAGCAACGCTCCTACTAGAGAAAACAATAAACGTGTATACCCATTCTACAATACCCTTCACCCTATATCCCTCCCTCCTAACAGAATCTCTAAGATTTTTCAGGGACATTCCCAGCCATGTCACTAACTAACTGATTCTTCTCTTTTTTAGCCTTCCAGACATGCATTCTCCACAACTCAGGTTTCGGCCTCTCACTAGCACATTAGGCCAAATAGTTTCGGCCTCTCACAGCTTATGGACATATCGTCAGTGATCTCCATAAACTCCCCCAAACAATCTTATAAGTACTTATGTCGGTACTAGTTAAACTCAAATAAGTCAATACAAAGAGACTCTAGATACATAAGATAATAGCTTACCCGCAATAAGAAAAGCTAGAGAATTGCTATGAGCTGACCGAGATGGATGAATCCGCTGAGATTAAATAGAGTAGTACAACAATTACAATACAATTTAATCATGAACAATCTGAACTATACGAGTAAAAGCTAGCACATTGCACAAAGACTAACACAAACACATAAAAACAAGAATGAGTAATCATACCATTGAGGTTCTTTCAGGAACATATTGCGAAAACCCGCTTTCAATATCTCCCCTACTCCCGCGAAAAGAAAAACTCATGACTGCAAATGAACTCTTTCAACCAACAATCCACAACACAATCTGCAATGAACTTATCAAGATAAATAAGGTAATTGACACACAGAATCTCGAATTATTGAACAAATTATGAAAGAATCAATAAGCACTCATCCATTCAAGGAACAAACATGCATTTATGTGAATAGTTAACGGCAAAAGGTACAGTACGAAAACAAGGACAATAAAGCTAAGAAAACGATGCTTTTACTAAGGAATTGTATGTAGACTTGTAGTGTAATGAACGAGTTGGTTTGGTAGTTTCTACGTTGTTCGTGTGGTGTAATGCGGTGGGGTATATAGCGACGGAATGGGAAATGATATTTGAATTAAAAAAGTGGTGGTTAAAATATATGACAACTAAGTAAGGTTTAATTGTCATTTTTGTAGACTGATTTTATTTTATTTGGTTTTTGGTACTCGTTACTTTGAGATATTGAAATTAAATATGATCTAAAAAAAATCAAATCATTTTAAATGTGTTTGGGTTCTCCCGTTCATATTGAATTCAATTTTGAATTGATTTTTTATAACACTAGTAACAAACCCGTGCTATCGCACGGATCTCGTCTGGATTCACATTATATTTATAGATTATTAAATTATTAAGTATGTTATCATGTTTTCAGTTGAGTATATGTCTCATGTAAATCATGTTGGCATTTAACTCCATATTTGTAGCAAGCGTCGGTCCTATCAACAAATCACGTCTGCATGAACAAATAGGAAAAATTATATACTTTTTGAAATACATGGAAAATGTACATACTATATATTTTAATTCAAAATAGATTTTTAATTTGAATCGTAAAGTATAAGATATAAAGTTTACCAACTATCAAAGTGCTTGAAAGACTTCCTTGTACACAACATTAGTAGTAGTAGAACACGGTACATTCTCCTTGTCATGAATTAGGATTTTTAGCTCACTTTTGCTCTTAACTCTTGAAATTGCAACATATAATTGACCATGACTAAACACAGGAGTAGACAAATACAATTCAACACTATCAAGAGATTGATCTTGTGACTTATTAATTGTCATTGCATAGGAGACAATAATCGGAAATTGTTTCCTAATCAACTTGAATGGCCAAGGTGAATCAGAAGGTGACATAGACATTCGTGGAATGTAAAAAATGTTACCTATGTTCTTTCCAAACATGATTTTTGCCTCAATGACATGATTTGCAAATCATGTAACAATTAATCTTGTTCCGTTGCACAACCCATCGGCTTGGTCCAAATTTCTCATTAGCATAATAGGTGTACCAACCTTCAATTTGATCCTATGATTGGGAAGCCCTGACGTTCTTAATTTACTGAGAAATTCAGGAGTTAGAACTTCATATGCTTCAGTATAACTTGAATCTGTTCTATCAATGGAATCAAAACTCAAATACTCTTTCTCTTCTCCTAAAAAAAGTTTAAAAGCAAAACATAAATAAATTAGTAAAACTATGTTCTTATATATATATATATATATATATATATATATATATATATATATATATATATATATATATATATATATACATATATATATATATATATATATATATTATGAATGTAATAATACAGTAAATATAAAACACATGTACCTGGTATCAAGTCTAATACATAATGATTGATTTTGTCCACAACTTCAATGGTTGAAGCAAGAATAGCCTTTCCTTGTAAGAATTCAACATCTTGATATTTTTCCAACAAATTGGGATATGTGTTTTCAACAATTGCTCTTATAGGATCATCAAAATTTGATATTAATAGCTCTTTAGGAATTTCAATATCAACCAAACCATCATTGGGTTCACAAATCTTACCATCACCCACATTTAAAATCCATTTTGAAAATTCCGCTAGTTCATTAGAACTTGTGTTGTCTCTTCCCTCTTGAAGTCTCATATTTTTTTATAGTGTTAAAACCTGGCAATAATCCCATACATAAGATGAACTAATTGATGCATGAACAATATCAGAACGCCAGCTCTTGGAACAACAGGAAGAATCTGTCTAAAATCTCCTCCAAATACAACAACTTTTCCACCAAAAATAGTATTCTCAACACCCTTTTTGCTCATTACATCTTTAAGGGTTTTATCCAATGCTTCGAAGCAGTTCTTGTGAGACATAGGTGCCTCATCCCATATTATCACATCCGTTGCTTCAAATAATTGAGAATGTTCGGTGTCTTTGTCGATGTTGCAAGTTGAGTTGTCAAGCGTTGGCACAGGTATTTTGAACTTTGAGTGTGCTGTTCTTCCACCCGGCAATAATAACGAAGCTATCCCACTTGAAGCAACAGTAAGAACAATTTTTTTTTGAGAACGAAGTGCACTTGATAGTGTTCTCCACATGAAAGTTTTACCAGTCCCTCCGTAACCATGCAAGAAAAATACCCCTCCACTCTGTTTGTTAACAGCATCCATGATTTTCTCAAATATCAAACGTTGTTCATCTATAAAATACAAACCAAGAATTATAAGTGCAAGGACAATAAAAATCATTTTTGTAATCATTTTTGCAATATTTAGAAACACGCAGCTTTTTCTGATGTTTTCGAATATAATTTAATCTTTGTGACTCCATCATAGTAAATCCATCAACCAAAAATTGTTGAAACAACCTTCTTGACCGCAATATAGTTTGTGCCTCGTTATGTCTGTATTGAATCCTAAAAGCAAGCCATTCTCTAATGGTAAGCTTATTCCTCTTCATTTTTTTTTTGGTATTAGTTTCTCTAAGAAGAACTCCAAGTCTAAAACCATCTTCCCCATAAGGAAACAAAAGTGGATATTGATATGCCAGATAACTTGAATGAAACTCACTTATTCTTTTTAGCCTTCCGCTCTTTCTTTCAAAAAGAATATCCCTCTTAGAACCCGTATCAACATCACCAACTATTAGGGCGGCTACCTCCGAAACAGTAGGTTGGTTATAAATCCTTCCATCTGTTGATCTATCAGATATTAGCTTAAGCTTGAGATCAGGCAAAGGACAATCCTTTAATCTATCTGCTGCCATCCTAAAAGATTTGGCATGTGTGTTGAACTCATCTAACATGTCCTTCAATCTACTAACTGTTTCTGGAATAATATTGGGATTGTTCCTGCATATAAAAGGAAATACTATGATGCAGCAATGAAAAATATTTAATATGTTGTAAAGAAAACAAAGTTTGGTAAAATTACCCAATTCCTTTAATTCTATGTTGAATCTCATTGTCGGTGTCGTAAACATACAGTTGAGCAAATTTTTGAGATTGTCCAGTTAAAGGTAACATGCTCCCAATTTGATGGCAAGTCTGTCCATGAATTCTTATGTTAGGTGGTCCACTTCTAGCTAAAAATCTGTTGTCGAATTTCATTCCCGGAGACGTAAAAGCAAACATCATGTTGTACATTCTACAAAATTGTTGATAATTTCGATTGTCTATCTCACTATTATCAAACAAAAGACATTGTAGTAATAGTGGTGGTGTTTTCAGAAGTGGCAACACAACTTTCCCCTTTCCACAACATAGTTGAAACTTAGGAACTGCACTATGTTTTCGCTTGTCAGTTTTTTCTTGATACCACATAAGTGCCCTACATTGTGTGCATTCAACTATAGGATCACCAATATCAGAATAACCTATTTAAATGAAACGTAGTTGAGCAATTGGTTTATATTAAATAATAAAATTATAACTAAAATCGTTCATATTAAATAATAAAATTATAACTAAAATCCACATTAAATCATAACAGGTATCAAAGTACAACATGTAATGGACAACGTCAAATTGATATGTATAATGAATTTAAAGAAGAAATAAAGTTGGTTTTAATGATAAATACCAATATTTAAAGAATCAAATGATGTAGAATTGGAGTCATAGACATCTTCGTCATCATAGCTGGAACTTGAGTCATAATTTGCATCTGCGGCATTGAATTCACATGAGCTATCATTGAGAGAATCATCTGTTACCGTCTCATCACCAGAGTAATCACTCTCAATGTTAACATCTGGAGTTGAAGTGAATGTTGTGGGTTCTTGTATAGGAATATTGCTTGTGGATGAAAAATCCAGATTATGATTCTCATTTCCAAAATAATTGAAGAGTTTGACCGTCATGGATTGAATAACACCTACATTCAACTATTTTTTTGATTTATGAACATAACTACTTGGATGTTCATGAGGTTCCATATTTCTTTGATTATAAAATGAGGAAGTTATATCAGAAAGAGGTGTAACAGTCAACTGTTTTTTTGATTTTTGAATAGAACAACTTGGCGGTGCATGAGGTTTTATGTTTCTTTGGTTAGAACATGAGGAAGCTATATCAGAAAATGGTGTTTTGAAATGCGAAAAGGATGGAGAATTTATCCTGAAAGGACCCCCACTGTTATTGCTAAGGTTGTTATGAAGTTTGTAAGATTGGGGCATCTTACCTTCCATAATACTTTTCCTCCGCTGTCGTGCTGAAGCAGTCAGTTGATTTGTAGAATCAATATTGAAACTCTTCATTGTACTTGAGTTGCTTGATGCAGATACTGGTGAAGGTGAACTCATATTTCTTTCATTAAAGATTGATGAAGTTAAATCAGATAATGGTGTTCTGATATTAACCATGGTTGGAACATAATACCTTTGAGAGTTTTCAATGGGATTGATTGTGTTTTCATCAGTTCTTCTTTTTTTTCAATCTTTTATCTTTAAGAATCTGCTTCCTTTTACGTCTTGCCATTGCTGCAACTTGTGGTTCCATAGTGTTGGTTAGGTCATGCAAAAATGAATGGGTAGAAAATCACTTTGATTGTATGGTTGTCATTCAATTTTTTTTTGTTAACCACATAAAATGATTGTAGACATAAAATGAATAAAGTTTTTAGTTATATGATAATAAATATAATTGTTAATACAACATTCACGGTTCCAAGATTTTGAAGTAAAATACTGAAGTCAACAGAATACCAAGTGATTATTTTTGTGAA